TATCGTGTTTAATTTGAAAGGAATTCAGTTAGGATTCAAATGTGAAACGAGGATATACGTGTCACACAAGCTTACGTGTGAGGAGTGAATGGAAAATCAAAATACCGTGGGTTAACTTTGAAGAATCCAGAGTGATTTATTATACCTGAGAGATTGTGTATGGAACTCCATTTCGGGGTTGGCGAGATTAGATAAAGGTTGGTATTATCACAAAGTTGGGTGAAGATAAGTGGTATGTTGGTATTCGGGAACTGTTACGAGTGAATAGGGTTGGCTAGTTGACGAGTTAATACTTGGGTTGGTTGATATATACTCAACTTGGAAAAAAAAAAAAAAAAAGGAAATTTGTAAGGACCCTCGTCATGAAAATTTTGTTTTGACTATTGCGTCATCACCGTGAATGTGACGGGTTTTGTAAGATGACTATGTTGTGATTCACTAGAGGGACATTGATGAAAATTTGAAGGAAGACCAAAAATTGGGTACTCTTCATAAACTAAAACGGTTTTGGGTCAAAATGTGAATTTGCAATCCTTATTTTCAGGAAAATAATTTGAAAATCTCTGAGTTCGGCTGTGGCCAGTTGTTAATGCGGTGTTTAAATGGTGGCGGTATAAGTCTGAACACCTTTTGGGGAAAAACCAAGTGCTTTGAAACAAATGGAATAAATAAAGCAATTTCCTTAACCTGGACGGAGTATGTTATGAGAAGTTAGATTTGACCTAGCTTGAGTTGCTGGTTACATGTTGTGTGTCTTTGACAAGAACTCGAAATTATCGGGCATTAATGTGCCATAATATTATTGATTATCCGTGCTTTATTTCGTGTTCTCGTTCTGTGAAAGTTGACTGAAAGCCTTTTGTACGAGTGATTTCGTGTTTTCTATGTTGGGGTGTTAAGCACTCAATACTGGTTTGGGTATTGTCGGTAGTCGAGACGTGGTGGATGTCTCAGAACGCTGTAGTGGTTGAATGTGTCATGCTGTTATCATGGTTATCGAGTCTTGTGAAGCAAGACTTTTCCATTAGTTAAGGTGTTGTGGAAACATCACGGGGTTGAGAAATCTACTTGGGAACGTGAATGGTGAGATCCGAGAAAATTAGTCGGACCTATTTGTGGATGTTTGAGCCTATATTGAGAATTTTGTTTGTGATAAACTCTAAGAACATTGTGTATGTTTCGGATTATGGAAGTATTGAAAATTGTTGCATATGTTTCAAGGAAATGAGTTTAATTTAACATTGTATATGTTGAATGTGTTGTAGAAATGAAAGTATGTTTTTAACATTGCATATGTTATGGAATTGTAGAGTATGTGTATTAAAATTAGTTAAAATTTAAAAGAATGCACGTTGATAATGCATATTGAGCTATATTTGTACAGTTGTTCTCTTGAGAAGAGATGGAATGATCGGTAGTGGATCTTGTTGATAAAGGTTGTATTGTAATCATGTTGAGAATTGAAAAGATCGCAATTTTGAAACTTATATATATATATATATATCTAATTTCGAGGATTAAATTCTTTAAGAGAGGGAGCTTATAGCGATCCCAGTTTTTCCCGTCATGTATTGTATTTCGGACTCAGGTCTAGTGGTTGTTGTTGTTGTCTTATTCTTGTTTCCATCCTTTAATTCCTTGTATTTGAGTTTGGGATGTGTTGGGTAAGATTGGAACAGGTTGGTTGTGAGTTGGAACAAATGGTTGCTGTCCAGAATTTGGCATCTTTGCTCGAGCGAGGCTTTTTGCGCTCAAGTGAGCCTTGGGTTTGTGCTTCTTTGCTCGAGCGAGCTTTCTTTGATGTGTCTCTTGGCTCGAGCGAGAACTCTTGCACTCGAGCGTGCGTCTATGTCTCTGAAAAACCTGAAGGTTGGTATTCTTCGCTCGAGCGAGGATTTTGTCGCTCGAGCGAGCGAGCTCTATGTTTTGTGTTTCTTCGCTCGAGCGAGAACTCTTGCGCTCGAGCATACTTCTGCGTTGCAGACCTGAAGCTTTGCATTGTTCGCTCGAGCGACGCTTCCTGCTCTCAAGCGAGGTTCTTTTGTTTCTGGTCGTTCGAGCGACCACTTCTTCGCTCGAGCAAGGTTCGAATATATCAGTTGGCAGCAGCGTGTTATACATCACTTTTCATCCAAACCCTAGATCCGGCAGCCTCTCTCTCTACAAATATTCCATGTTCTAGGAGTTTGTTACCCTAATCCCTTTGTAAGAAAGTTAGAGCTTGGCCTGAGCTTCCCTCTGATCCGAAAATTTGTGGATTTGGAGCATCTTGGGTTTCACTCTTCTTCTCCTTTGGGCTCTTAATTTCGAGGTAGGGATAATCTACTCCTTATGAGTTCTGACATAAATGTTGGTTATTTTGTATAGATGGTGGTGTTTGGGAGTTTTAGGTAAAGTTAGGGTTTGATTTGAAATAATAACAGAGGGGTTTTTCTTATTTGGGATTCACATGTGTCTATGAGACCTTGATAATGGGTTAATAGTATATTATGGGTGAGATTTGACCTTGATTACAAAATTTGAGAAAAAGGGGAAGATTTTCCCTAATTGGAATTAAATAAGTGATTTAGTGGAAATGTAAAATTGGTTTGATAATTATGAAATTGGGAAGGTTTGTGATGTAATGGTGTAGTGGGATTGGTAAATCACTTACCTATGGAAGAGTTGATAGATTATCTGTTTGATAAATTTATTTATTTGTTTAGAAATAACTGTTTTGGGCTATCGGTGAAGGATAGTCATGATTGTTGTAGAACTGCATGATGATTAGGAAAATTGAAACTAATCAATTAGAATATGTCATTGAATATGACGGTTGAATTAACACATTGAACATGTGCCTTGATTGATCATTATGTATCATAAAGAGTTTAAATATATTGTATATGTATCTTTGTTTGGGAGGAGATAGAGGATGTACTCCATACATGTGTGATTATATGCTTAAATACATTGTATATGTATCTTTGTTTGGGAGGAGATAGGAGATGTACTCCATATAAGTGATTATATGCTTAAATACATTGTATATGTATCATTGTTTGGGAGGAGATAGGAGATGTACTCCATTGTTTGGGAGGAGACAGGGGATGGACTCTATTGATAATTAAGTTGGTCAGAGTGTCTAGGGTGAAAGTCCCGAAGTCTTAGAAATGGAAGTGTATGAATGAAGTTAATGATTGAAGTGTTGATAACGTGGGTTGTAGTCTCACTTTGAAATGTTTAGATATCAATGAGCCATGTCAATGGGTTACTTTGGATAAATAAATGGAAATGCATTGAAATACAAAAGTGAATATTGATTTGTCATGGAAATGATGTAAGTTGTTTTACAAGTGTTAAACATTTGTCGGATGTCAATGTTTTAGTTAATTCTCATACTTGGTGTAGTATATCTCTTCTAGGCTTTGGCTCACCCAACTTGGGACACCATTTTTCAGGTACAGGTGGCATGCCACCTCCAAGATCTTAGCTTGGGAGGTTTAGGAGTTGAAGACTCTGCTTTGTTATTTGTTTTGTTGATTACATGTAAATGCAAGCCAAGGGCTTTACTTGTAAAAGAGTTAGCACTCTACTTTTGTAACTCAGTTAATACCTGGAAGGATGTAAGCCCGTAGGGCATTTCAATATGTTGTAAACAGTTTGGAACTTATATGAAATACCCTTTTATAATATTAACTCTGATGTATGTATGGGAATGTGATTATCTTTCATGAATATAGAACTATTAGATGATGGGATTGTGTATTATTTTAAGGGCGTTACAATAGCTATATGTACACAATAACAAACAATTACTAACAATATGAATGTTAACAGTGTTTTTATAATACCAAAATAATATGACAACATCAACAATGCATTACTCACAAATCACAATTAATGTTCATATTCACATTAAAAAAAAAAACAAAAAAAAAAAAAAAAAAAGGTCATACTAACACAAACAATGTGAATGTTCACAATGTATGGTTCCATGAGGGGATGTTATTTATTAGCATGCATTTGTAATATAAAAGTTCACATCAGTATTTAGTGAGAGATTTTCAAAGGGTAGACGATTTAGGTTTTGGGGAATTTGGGAGATTTTTTTATAGAATAATAGAGAGATTTTCTCCCTTGAATGAGGAAGAGATTTTCTCTATCGAATAAGAGATATATTTTCTCCCTAAAATGAGGAGATTCTTTTTAGAATGAGGACAGATTTTCTCAATGAAATAAGGGAGAGATTTTCTTCATGGAATGAGAGGTTTTTTTTTTTTTTTTTATTGTGTATTAGTTTCAAAATGAAAACATACACAAAAAGTTGAAATGGTGATTTAGTCATATTACTCTAAAACCAAATGGAATATTAAAAAAAAAGGATAGGTTAAATGAAACGTAACAATTAGAAATAGGACTTTATGAAAAATGGCCCTTAAATATTACTGTTTTTACATTTTTAATTGGAATTAATTTAGATTCAATTTTGAAGTAAAGTGACTTATTGAGATTCAGTTAATTCTTTTATTTTTTTTAGGACGTATGATTAAATAAATAATCCATTCCATAATTCAATAAGCAAATTGTGTCAATTTTAGAGATTTTAATTTTCAAGTGAAGTCAACAAACAATTAAAGTAAAACTTGAAATAATACAAAATCTAAAGGCATTTAGAAAGAATATTAAGATATAAGAAAGTTTAATTTCATAGTGATGGATAAGGTTGGAGAAAAGTTTGATAAAATCAAACCAAATACTTTGAACCCTTCAATTAAAAAATTAAAAAAAAAAATTGTTATTCTTTTGTTTGGTATAAATGCTCGATTTATTCGGATTTAGGTATCATTTCCTCTTTTGTTATGAAGGTCAGCACTGCATCCCTTCCACTCTCTTTCCACATCAAAACATTCCTCATATCTCTTGCTTCAATCTCCTTCTTTAACCTAAGGTTAGAAAACTTTGGTTTAAGTCTAATAATCACACTTCCCATCTAAAAAAAAAGTCCAATAATCACACTTTCATAGAGCCCACCCATTTCCTATCTCATTAGCTTTGATGCTAATGCTTCTTCCTTCATATGGTTCCTTGCCTTTCACCATCTCAGCATAAGTTCTCTGCTTTCCACTTGAGCTTTTGCCTTTCCATCCATCTACACCAGGTAAATTGCTTCTACCTGACTGGTCCTGCAATGGGTTCTTCTTCTCTGCTCTGTCCATCCCATACTCTGCATCTTTGACTTCTAAGGCTTTGCCATCGATCCATAACCCATTATCTTTTTGTATTGCTACCTTTGCTGCAACTGAACAGTCAAATCTGACAAACCCAAATTTTGTGTTTGTCATTTTCCTTCTCTTGTTTTCAATAAACACATCCTTCACTTCTCCAAATTTGGTAAATAGCTCAGACAGTCCTTTGGGATCCATCATGCTTTGGTAAATTATCCACAACCACAGTCAACTGTTGGGATATTTTAGTAAAAATAATATTATATTTAATTCAATCATTATATTCAACATTATTACAAAATTAAAACTTATACTTATTGTGTTTAATTCCAAAAACCATTTTAATATTTATTAGAACTATTACTTTTCATAATTGTGTACTTATGTGATTTCACTCAAAAACACCTACATATATTCCTATGGTTTTTTAAAGGAAGATGTAGAAGAAAGTGTTTTGAAAGGTGGAATGTTGTTGGGAGAGTTTTCTATATTTTATGTATATTGGTTATATTTTGGACAACTCTGATTCGTGGCTTGCAGAGCTAGCCTTGATTTTTTTGGAGGCCTAAGGCAAACTCAGAAGATAGAGTCCCAACTCTCATACATATTTTAAAATATATATATTGGTAAAATAGTAACAATCTTCAATTTATTTTTATCTTTTGCTTTCTGTAAATTTGTTGCATATGGTACACATAATTATTGAGATAAATTTTGAATATTTTCGATTATTAACACTATTAATTTATTCACTTTTTCCTGCCGTAGTAAATGAAATTGTAAATTTTGATTAATTTCAACTTTTAAAAAAATTATTTCTTCAGAAGTAATTGTAACTTGTATAGTCAAACAATATTCTATAAATAATTCATACATTTGGTAAGCAACAATCCATTAGTTTTAAATAATTTACCAATTCAATTGTTTATTTAAACATTCATTTTCAAACTACTAATATTATAATGTAATGCTTGGTTCAATGAAATAAAATTGAATGGAATGAAATTCCTTAGTTTCTTTATAAAATTAATTTTTTCTTACAATGGTGAATAATGATTTTGTTTGTAATCTTTTTTAGTAAGAAAAATGCTTGGGACTTCTAATTAGAGGTACCACTAGTGATGTTGCCACATCAGTGCTTTGTCTTGGTTTTTTTTTTTTTTTTTTTTTTGCCTTTTCCACCTCATTAGAGGTGTGTTTAGAGCCTCTAAATTAAAGGTCTCTAGCATTGCCCTTTTTAGTAAATCAAAAGTAAAAATGGACATTATGATGAAATGATTACTCTATTCTACTTTATTTTAATAAATGAAACATAAATTAAGACCGAAATAATTAACCAAATATAACTTAAGATCGAAATTATTTTGGGGCCCTATTTTTTGGACAGAATTTGGGGGGGCCAAGGCGGTGGCCTTGCCTGCCTTACCTCAGGGCTGGCCTTGATGGCTTGGTTCAAGACTCCAGGTGGTCGTGAATGCCAAATGAGGGACATTGAACAATCTAGATTTTATGTTAAAACAACTTCACTCTAATTGTATCTTCACGAGTGGAGGAAAAGTAGTTTTAGGATAGTGACAACGTGACTCCTAGAGTCTTACAGCAATGTTTTCTACTCTGGATTTTTTATTAGATATATTATTATTTATTGTCGTTATAATGTTCATGAACGTATGTTAAAATATTCTGTTTATTATTTTGCTAAACTAACATGACAACCTCCTCCTTTCCACAACCTGCCGAGCCCCCTTGCCTTCCCCTCCGTTTGACAATGAGAATCCATCCTCCTCTGTGCATATCCATCCTCCTTTATGATCACCAGTTTGAAGGTACCTAACGAAAAGAGATAGAAGAGAAAATATTTTGATTAATATAATTAGTAGATAAAAATTAGGCATCGTGACGTGCGAGACTAATGAATGATAAGACTTAAACTGTAATTTACTTGATCCATTAAGTTGGGTAGTTTACGAGTAATGTTATACAAATTAATAAATTTTGTAAATATTTTTTACTTATATTATAACAACACTTCTTTTAATTCTGCAAGATTCTATTTGAATGGGAAGGTGAAAAGTGATAAAGTTTATGAAATTTTCTTTTAATTTTGTAAATTTTTTCACTAATTTAATATTATTTTTTAAAAATTTCATTAAAATGATATTTTTCCATAAATCTTCTTATATAGTATAACTGATTATGAAGTTTTCAAACACACTAAATAAATTTTGTTTTACACCTATCACATACATTATAAATTTTATTCTTCACGAAAACACTTTTATATGTGAGTTTAAATAAAATTTAGTTGCCACCCAAATTGACTTAAAATTATTTGCTACTTTCTATTCGGCAAGATAATATATGCATTTTGATTTTTACGTAATTGATTTTCAAGACCTGTTTGGTTTTTTTTTTTTTTTTTAATTTTCTCAGAGATGAAATAATAAAATGTTTAAACAACTTTTTTTTTAATATAGTTTGAAAATGCTAGTTGATTTAATAATAATTCACCTAACAAATTTTGAATGAGGAAAATAATGACTTGTACAAGTAGTTGGATACAAGAGCTGGTCATACCCATAAAAACATTAAAACATCATATTAAATTTATCGAAATATTTAATCAAACTTGTCACCTTTTTGGTAGTTTTTTAAGTCTCACTCTTTTTAATATATAACTAGCCTTACATACTTTTATAACGTAAATATAAATTATAAAATAAAATAAAATGCTTTCCTTTGACCTTGTTTGATGTTTTGTTTTGTATATCCATTTTATTCTTCAATAAAGTTTTGCTTTTTATTGATCAAAATTTAGAAGAAAAAAAATAAATAAAATGATGTAATAGTATTTCCACTTTTCACGTGGGTATTGGTAAGGATAATAAAAAAAATATCATGAAATACTTCATAAAATTTTTACACATGCAATAAAATATTACAAACTATTCTTTTAATGATCCTTGGCATTACTCCTTTCGGGTGATTATTCAGTACTCCTAAAATATGCACATGTGGCGCTGCATAAGGTTTTGATTAGTGGAGAAGAGTAGGGGCCCACAATTTATGTTGGGAATTAGAGAACAACATGGGGTTAAATTATTGGTGATTGACTTGGAGTATGGCCACATAGTGTTCCAAGAGTTAGGTTAGGCCATCCTAGTTTCCACATAATCAAGACACTATAAATTGAAAATGAAGAGCCGAAGATTGCACAATAATCATTTCTTCTATAACGAAGCAAGAAATGTCTCGCAATGCCTTCCACAGGATCAAAACAGTAGGTTTCTTTCACAACATTGGGGTCATTGGAAGTAGTGCAGTTATTGTTTGCAGTTTTTGCAAAACTAAGGTTCAAACAGATTCTCATGTGCTCATACATTGCCCACAAGTATGGAAGATGGATTGGTGGGGAATCAGATGGGTAACACCTACAAATGTGGAGCGTCTATTGCATTGGTGGATGGGTGTGAAGTTCAAAAAGCTGGAATTACAGATTTGGAAGACATTACCTTTTGCCATGTTGTGTTCCACTTAGAAGGCAAGGAATGAGTGTGTATTTAATGGCCATCCACCAAACTTTGTTGAGGTTGAGGAGCTTGTAAAAGTAATGGTGGTGGCTATGTGGGCCAAATCAAATCTGAAAGGTGTCCAATTTTCAGTTCATGATATCGTCTCAAACATTAGGGAGGTCAAATATTGTTTGTAACTACTTTGAGTTGGTATAGCCCTGTTGGTGCTCTATTTGTTGCCCCGTTGGTTTTTGTCGGGGATAATATCTCAGCTAGCTTAGGCTATAGCTGCAGCTCCAACTGCAGCTCCGACCGCAGCTCCAAGCTCAGCTCAGATATTCTAGATAGATATTTGTAGAATTAGTTAGGAGTTAGTTCTAGTGTTTGTTAGATTGTTAGATTCATTGTATATAAGTATGAGTGATGTATGTTTGAACAATTCAATTGAGAATGAAATATAATGTGATTACAAACTTCTTTATGGTATCAGAGCTTTAAGCTCTAACGAGCAACTGATCCATGGTGACACCACTTTCTTCTTCTCTTCCTTCGAATCTGACTTTACTAATCTCTAACTTGTCATCCTTTGTAACAATCAAGCTTGATGGAACAAATTTCATCTAGCAGACTCAATTGCATGTCCTTCGTCTACGATCATTGATTTAATAGGCAGTTTAGTTCCTAATCCAGAATTTCTTCAATGGACCATGACTACGATCATTGATTTAATAGGCAGTTTAGTTCCTAATCCAGAATTTCTTCAATGGACCATGATTGATGCACATTTTCTAAGTTGCATCATTGCGACTCTTACACCATTGATCTATGCATCTGTTCTTCAATTTCATCATTGTTCTGAGGTATGGACATCTCTGCAAAAGCGATTTACAACTCTATCTCATTCTCATGTACATCAATTGAAAAATAAACTAAATAATGTTGCTATGAAGTCAGATACAATGGAAGAATATCTGTCCAAGATCAAGGCCATAGTCAGTCGGTTAGCTCTGGCTTCTATTATCATTGATGATGAAGATCTGGTTCTCATTACTTTGAATAGCCTTCCTTCTGAGTATGATGCTTTTTCCACTACAATTTGTGCTCGACCAGAAGTTATTACTATAGATAATCTCTCCTCCTTACTATGTTCTGAGGCTCTTCATTTAGATTCTAAGAATAAAAATATATGGAACCAACTGTAGCCTTTTCTACGGTTAAAGGAGCTAACAATTCAAGAACTCAGACTTTTAATCAACGCCGTGGTTTTATTCTAGAGGATGAAGAGGTGGCCGTAATCAAGGATCCTACAAAGGATATGGATACAGAGGATATAGAGGATCTTACAGAGATTCTGGTGAGATTTGGTTCCTCTCGAGGCCAAGGAAGAGTTTCTAATCAATTTTGTCAAATTTGTGGCGGCTCTAGTCATTCAATGTTAGATTGTTGGCATCATATGGATCCACAATTTCAGTCTCAATCTCCACAAACAAAAAATTTCAATTCCCAACAACAACCAAGAGCTTTTGTCACTACTTCAACTGCTTCCATGTCTCCATCCTCATCTTCTGCTCCAAGTCCATGGTACTTGGATTCTGCAACTACAGATCACATGACCACTGATCTTAGCTATCTCAGTTGTTATCATCCCTATCAAGGCTCCGATTAGATTACTATAGGAGATGGTAA